GGGTCAGAAGCGCCTGGGCCCCATCTCTACCGACGCCCTCACAGGTGAGGGTGGTTTTAGGCAGCATCCCTGTGCCCCAAGGAGACTGGGTAGTGCCCATCCTAGTCCTCTTGGGCCATCTGGGAAGTGGGAAGTGATCTTAGGTGCTGAATTTGGATAGCTGGATGGAAGGGTGGACGGTTGGATGAGTTTGTGGCTTGATGGGTGATCTTATGGCTGACTGGTTGGAAGCACGAATGGCTGAAGAAAAGTGTGTGGGAAGGTGGATGAATGGCTGAATGGCTGGCTGGCTGGCTGGAAGGCTAGCTTAGTGAATAGATAGACAGACTGATGGATGGATGGATGAATCACTGGACAGATTAATATATGGATGGATGATTGTAGTGTTGGACAGACAACTGACTGAATGGAGTAGGAATGGATGGTGAGGTGAGTTCATTGATGGTGAAAGATGAGATGGATGGATGGATGAGCAGATGTATGGGGTGTAGGGCCGGAAGTGTCTGGGCCCCATCTCCACTGATGCTGTCACAAGTGAGGGTGGCTGCAGGCCCTGTCCCTTTCCCCTCTGTTTGTTAGTTTTGGAGTAAGGCAGGAAGGCTGGGAGGACCCATCCTGGTCCATTTGGCCCCCTGGGGAACAGGAATAGCTGTTGGCCCCTGAATTGGTGATGGTCATGGGTACATGCAAGGTTGGAGGGAGGAACAGATGGAAAGATGGTTGTATGAAAGATTGGATGGTTGGCTGGATGGGTGTCATGTTGGCTGGCTCAGTGGTAGATGGAAAGATAGCTGGATGAAAGACTGGCTAGATGGGCAGTTGGTTGATCAGATGGCTGATTGGATTTTTGGATGTTTGGATGGAGCTTTGGAAAGATGGTTGAATGGGCAGCTGTTTCAATGACTGGATGGAAGTATAGATGGTTGGATGAACATTGGATGGTTAAAGATTTGCATGGATGGTTGAATGCCTGGATTCATGGATCCATGGCCTGATGGACGCACCTGGAAAGATGGGATGGGGATAGGGATGGAAAGAAGCCTGGCTGGCTGGCTCAACAAATGGATGGATGGATGGATGGATAGATGGATGGAGAGATAGACTGGTGGCTGGCTGGCTGACTGGAATGACAAATGGATAAATTAATGGTTGAGTGGTTGTGTGGCCAAATGGCTGAAGAAATGGGAGGATGGATAGGTGGACATGTGGGTGAGTTAACTAAGGGTGGACGATGAGACGGTTGAACAAATGGACAGATGGTTGTACAGATGACTGGCTGGATGTGTGGATGTTTGTCCCCAGTATACCCACCATTGGACCCCTCTCTGTTGCAGCCCCAACCCCGCCAGAGGAAGAACTGCCCCCCCGGCCCCGCCTGGGAGAGCTCACAGCCTCCCATGTCACGTCCAGCTCTGTCCAGCTTGACTGGACAGTTCCCGAGGGCACCTTTGACTTCTTCACGGTGCAGTACAAAGATGCACAAGGCCAGCCCCAGGTGCTGCGTGTGGATGGCAGGTCCCACACGGTGACGGTGCCTGACCTGGCACCATCCCGCCGCTACAAGTTCAACCTGTATGGGATCTGGCAGCAGAAACGTATTGGTCTTATCTCTACCGATGCTATCACAGGTGAGTGTGGCTGTGGGCATCATCCCTGTCCCCTCTGTGCTCTGGTTTAGGGCAGGAGCCTGGGCAGGGTCCTTCCTATCTCTGCTGGGCCTTCTGGGAAATGGGAATAGGTCTTGGGCACCAACTAGGGGACGGATGAAGGGATGGGTGACTGGGTAGCTGGAAAAGTGGATGGATGGATGGATGGAGAAATGACTGGCTGGCTGGTTGGATGGATGGATAAACTAATGGATGAGTGAGTGGGTGAAGAAATGGATGGATGAATGGTTGAGTGGAGAAATACCAGATTTAATGGGAGGATAGTTGGGTGGATAAGTGCATAGGTGGATGGATGGACAAATGGATGCCTGGATGGATGGATAAATATATTAACGGATTAATTAATTCATAGACATGGATCAATGGATAGGTGGATTGAAAAATGGTATGATTAATGGTTGGATGGATTCTGGGATGAATGGATAATGGAACTGCTGGATGATTGGATGGACTCATGGAGTGAGGGCTGGGAAATGGCACAGGGAGAACTGGGCAACTGGGTGGATGGAAGCCTGGAGGGATGATCAAAAGGACAGCTTTGACTGTATGGTTGGGTGGGCGGATGGTTGGGTGAGTTGTTTGATAGGTGGATGATCAGATAGATAGATGGATGGATAGCTGGCTGGCTGACTGGGCGGCTGGATGTATGGATGTCCGTCCCCAGTGTGCCCTGCCTTGTGCTGTCTCCATTGCAGCCCCAGCTCAGCTGGAGGAGGAACCGCCTACCCAGCCTCGCCTGGGAGAGCTCACAGCCTCCCACGTCACCCCCAGCTCCGTCCAGCTGGAGTGGACGG